CCGAAACGGAACCAGTGGGAGCCCGGCCGCACCACCCGCCCCGGTGCGGACGCGCCGCGCGAGCGCCGGACGGAGCGCTCGTCCGGACGCCGTGGGTCCGATCGCTCCGATGTCGTAGCGATGCCAGGAGCCCCGTTCGTATAGCTTCTTGTTACTAGTCAGGCCAGCTGCGTTCGTAGCGTCCGAACGCTCTGTTCGTACCGATGCTCCTTCCGTTCGCTTCGTGCTTCGTGAACGCATTTGGGGTCGATTGGGATGGAGCAGTTGTCCATCGATGCGAGGTACGGCCGTGATCGGTTTAGCCTCGCGACTTACCTGCGCACCTTCTTGAAGATCTTGGACATCCATGACTTTGCTGCTGAGCTATATTTAGGACATCCAGAAATTGTTCTGGGTGTTCCTGAAAGCGTTTGAGACGTTTTCTTTTTGGTATTGGTATCCATGAGTTGTTTTGCCAGAAACAGAGTGCTGACATCAGCTTCAATCTATACCTTATTTTGCCTGAAAGCATCAGAAACAGTTAAACGCGATCCCAATGACAACCCTTGAAGCGACTCAGCCCGACATGCAAAACATGGCGAAATTTTCTTAATGACTTCCCAATAGACATGTTGTGAACTTGGGCAGAAAGACTAGTCTTCTTCTTCTTCTTCTTCTGAGACTTGGCAAGCTCATATCCACGCATCACCACTGGTTGAGAGACCCATCTCTCCCAGATGATCCATCTTCTCCAACACGAAGCTATAACTCGCTCGTGCTTCGCCCTGGGGTTTTCTGGAGACTGCGATCCAATGCTTGGGGTTTTGGGGCCTCTTTCCGGCGAAGATGTCAGCAAGATTTCTGAAGATGTCAGGCTTGTTTGCCCTTGGTTCTGGGTTTTCTGAAGCCGAGCGTCGCCCAACCCGCCTTGCACCAAGGAGGCCTACGACGACCTGGATGGCCAACGCTTGGTCACGTTCCAATGCGTGGTGCGGAAAGACCAGTGGGAGGCTGCGAAGGTGCCCGTTATGTTGGAGAAAGAGAGCTGCAGGGAGAAAGAAGGTTGGAAAAAAATGGTCTTCTTTCTTTGCTGGGGCGTGGAGTCTGCTTTTTCGGCTTCATGGCTACCCCGGATCTAACACCTGAGATATCCTGAGAGATTCTGAGTTTTCCAGTCCATGCTAACGGAACAGGACCGCTTCCTGACTGCATTCCTCATACAGAAGTGGCTTGGCTTGTCTCCGCGCACGTGAAAGACCAGGCAGGCCCTTTTCAAGGACCCTCTGGTGCAGATGGTGCCTGGAAAGAAAGAGCTTTATAGAAGACTTGTCTTGTTCGCACGGAGGGCCCCGGCGTGCAGGTACTTGGACTTTCTGAAAAAAGCAACGACGCCGATGTGGGGTTCGGGGGTCTTCGGGAGCCTCCAAGAGGGGTCAAAATAGTTGTTCTGATATCCCTAGCCCCTTAAGCTACTGCCGGGAGGGGGGACCTCAAAAAAGTAAGTTACATTTTTAGGGTACCCCCCTCAGGAAGGGGTAGGGATGTTCTGATCCGTTTTTTCCTGGTCCGTTTCGGAACCCTCTTGGGTCAATAGAGGCGAACGTGGCTCCCGAGGAAGGCCTACCGCCATGCCAATGGTGGGAGCTCTGCACCAAGTTCCTTGGGATGAGCACTGAATGGCGGCTGTTTGGCGTGGGGGCTGGTGGGGTGGTGGGGTGGTGGGGTTTTGCAGGATGCTTTTGTTGGGGGTTTTGGTGTTCTGGGGATGTATTGAAGATGAGATGAGCCAAGACGAGCGAGCGCAGCTAGCTAGTTGTGCCGTTTCGGACGTTCTCATCCCGAGAGAGGCCTGGGGTTTGCTCCCCCTGGGCTCCGGGTGCTTCGTTCGCTCCTGCCGCCGTCGCCCCCGCGGGGCAACCGCCGAGGTCTGCGCGCGGATGCGAAGCCCCGCTTCGTGCCGGAGGAGGGGCGGCTCGCGCTGCAGGAGCGCCAGGCCAGGCTCCAGGAGAGCCGGTCGGTCTGCGGTTGGATGGGCCAATGTTCATTGGATGGGCCGAGAAATGGTGCGAAGGGGGGGAGAGTTCGGAGAAGTCAATGGTTGCGATGCCGTGGGAGTTCTTTTATGACGACGTATTTGGGACCTCGTTTTTTTGGGGGCACATGGTTTCCTGATGTTTTCTGTGTTCTTGTTGAGCGGCTCAGATGTGGCTCAGATGTGGCTCCATGTCTCAGGAAAGGCTTGGCTTGGGAAAACACGTGCGCTGGCATCCTTTTCGTCTGGGTGGTTTGGGCCCTCTTGAACAGTCTCAAAAAGAAGCTGTGGGTTTCCACAGCAAGAATCTGGTTTGTAGCTTCCTTCGCTTCCAAAGAGATGTGAACATCATCTATACTAATCGATCCTTGGAAGCATGAACTCCAATGATCAGGCCGCTTCCTTTCGTCCAAGCAGAACAGCGAACGCTTTGGGGCGCTTCGAACGGGGGACCGTCTCGGGCGCTCGAGCGAGGAGGAGGAGGCCTCTCAGCACCGTGTGGTGGTGCGGAAGACCTTCTTGGCCACTGGGACGGTGGCGTTTCCCCCCTTCGTTCGTTCGTTCTTCCTGGGGAGGCAAACTGCGAAGGATCAAAGAGCACTTGAGGCCTTAAGAGTTGGAGCGCTCAAGTTCGGTTGAGCCATCCTGGAGAATTTGAGATGGGTGAATGGATTTCATTGTTCCATGTGCTGGACATCAATGGTATGACATGATCGATGGCAGTGGGCGGAACAAAAACACCACTGCAAGGGGGCCCACTTTGTTACAAGACCTCACCTTGCCACACCTGGAAGTCCATTCATTCACCACTACCAGCAGATCGGTTTAAAAGGAGTCATTTTCCTGGACTCTGAGGGTGACCAAAAACAAGCACAGATCCTCAACCTGGACCCGCGGAGTTCGCGACGGACTCAGGACGTGGACGAGCCCTCCTCGCCGGATTCCGCGGACAACGTCTCCGCGTGGTGGACGGCGCGGACGGCGCGGAAGCACCGCACCTGCAGTGCCTTGCAGGTGAATCGCCTGGCGCCTCGGCGGTTCTTTTAGAAAAAGATCTACAGGACATCAAAGATATCAAACAAATACAAGAATCAGTTGGAAAGAACCGGTCGAATGTCCAAACGGGAAATGGACCAAAGACATTGAGCTGAAACGTTTGGGACACCGTTTCTGTTCCTTTTTTCCTTGGAGAGTAGGCAAATCAATCTGGGAGACGGATGCTCGGTTGTATAATCACTGCCTACACTGTAGTGGCGTGTCGACTAAGCTACTGATCGATTCATTCCTGCGGCCCCGAGGAGCTCAGTACCGTGATGTGAGCACGTGGCGCTCGCGGCATCCGAGCGAGCTTAGCGCCCGGTACAGACAAGGGTGCTTTTAGTGGCAGGCCAAATGGGTCAATCGGACCATGGTGAATGGAGATGGATGCTCGAGGTGACTTGAGATTTTGTTACTGGCTTTCTAGACAGAGAGGATTTGGATGGATTTGGGGAATTTCAGACTTTAGTCGTTTCCGCGTTAACTTGGGGGTGGGTTTCTGGTATAACGTCCGTGACACCCTTTTAGTGGAGCTTCCCTCTTTGCCATGCAGAAGACGAAAGCATCGCAACGACTTGGAAACTGACCTGAACATTCTTTGCGAAGTCCGTTTGTGCGTGGAGCATTTGTGCCTTGAACAGTTTTTTGTTGACCTCTACAGGAAAATGCACTGCTCTGAGGCTCTGAGTGTGTAGAAACAACGGATGGAAAGAAAGCACAACAGCACCATTCTCTCCATTCATCCGAAGCCCTTTGACGCTGCACATGAAATTCCGCCGCTGCTTTCAATTGGCGGCACCCATCCAAATCTGCATGCCTGTACAGCGCACGAGGCGCCACCATCCCCTCGCCGTCGATCTCCACCCCCTCTCCCCGGCACCATCCCCTCCCCATTGAGCTTTAAGCACGCGCCCAGCAAGCTCAGCAAGCTGGGCGCGGTTTCCTTCGGTGGCGGTGCTGTAACGGTGCGCTGCAGCCGTGTTTAGGCCGTGGCTCTTGGTTTTGGGGATGCGATTTCGGGGGCCGATCTCCGTGAGGGGTTGGATCCTAAGAGGTTGTAAGAGGTTGACGGACAAGGCCTTTGGAGCGCCGATTTGATGTGTGTGCCTCCTCGATGAACATCACCGAGGACTATGTCGCTTGGCGGGGCCGCAGATCAGAAGCTAGTCTTTTGTGGGTTGGATGCACGACTCTCCTGGGTGTGTCGTTCAGATCTGCGGGAGAGCAGCCGTTCTGCGACGACTCGACGAGCAGTTTTGTCCGTCCGTCCGTCCGGGAAAACCTCCGGTGTCCCTTCGTGTTCAGCGCCTGTACAGCACGGCCAGGGCCGTTCCGCGCCGGCCGGAAAGACACGCGGACGCCGGCCACAACTGAGGTGTTCCCTCTATATAGTGCGTTTCGAAACGACGACGGCGACGGTTTTCTGGCTCAACCCGATTTGGGGTGGCAGAAGCTGCGAGACGAGCAGAGGAAAACTATCGAGCGAGACGTGCTGAGATGGGATGATATCCTCCTCTCCTCTCGAGTCTTTTACTCCAAAGAAACATCAGCCTGGAGCCGATGGTTGCATGCTACAAGGGGAGTGCAGTCAGATTCTGAGACACTTGAGGGTAATTGGTGAGATGGAAGCCAATACTGCACATTTTGGATTCCATGCAAGTGGATCGATCTAGGAAGAACACTCCTGAGGTTTGACCTTTTTGCTTCAATGTATATCCATTTTTGATCATGATTTGCTCCTTTGAGGCGTTTCAGAGTTGATGGCACATCCCCTCAATACTTTTTCTTCTACATCCCATGCTGTCACATGGGGGGCGTCATTGGAACAGGAAGCAGTGTTTTGGCTGTCGATGGTTCGTCTTGGGGTTCTTTTTGGTGTTCTCCTCATGGAAATGTCTCATCGCAGAAAAAGAAGAGCATTCGCTCTGGACGGGTTTCGGATCTTGGAAAGGCCGGAAGATGTGGGTCTGTTCTTCTACAAGGCCACGGTGAACTTGCGCCACTTGAGGCCAGACGATGGGGTTCAGTGCGAAAGCTTTGGACTGGGCGGAGGAGGCATAGATCACATGACCGTGGTTTTGGTGTTCCTTTCGGGCTGTGTGGCTGTGTGTGTGGCTTTTGGAGAGGCGAAAAAGTCCTGTAAGATCAATGACTGCATACGATCAATGGCCTGCTTGTAGCCCCATCCACCAGCCTTAGGTGCTGCTCCTCTCCTTAGCCAACCTCAAAGCCTGGCCGTTTTTCTGCCAGACACCCCGCCCGGTCAGACACCCCGAGCGCACTGCTTCGCAAGGAGTTCTCTCCATGAGTCCATTGGGAAGATCGAGCAGAGCCAGGCGGGCTTCGACCGACTTTAGAGCCCACTGCGGGTTCCAGTGGACGAAGGGTGGACGAAGGGGCGCTGGTGTTGGAAGTGGCTGCGGTGGTACCGAAGGTGCCCGGTGGGTTTGGAGAAAGACACTCGCAATGAAGTGAATTCAAAGCCTCAAAAGACCTCCAACAGATACAATATTGAATCCAATGAAACTTGACGGTATCAACCGCCTTCATCTTCTACACGAGTTTGGATCGTTTTCCCTGAGCACTGTTTCTTCCTGGATGTGAACTCTTCCTTCCTGTGGTCGAAGGTTACACAGCTGCGGTCCGAACTCACCAGTGACCCGCAGAAACCGGTCACTTCATGCGGTAACCGCAGGTCTGGGAAGACCGGTCCGCCGCAGCTCGCAGCAGCTCCCCGTGGTCTTCCGTGGTCTTCCCTTTCGGTATTTTCCCCATTTTGGAGCAGGACTGGACCGCTTCCCACACGTTTCTCCACCGTCTCCGCGGCAGTCGCCACGAAGAGACGCGACCGCCGCGGACGCTGTCCACAGGTGCCCCTCGAGCGCATCTCCGTGGCGCTGCGCGAGGCGGAGCGGAAGGGATGGAGATGGTGAGGATGTGACGTCGTTGCTGTGCCCATATCATCAGCTCGTATCGTATCCAACGAAAGAAGCAGGACGCCTTAGTGAAAGAAGCTCCAAAAAGCCTCTGAGTTGCTTCGAAAGCAAGAGCTTCCAACTGATTTCCCTGAAGAGTACGGCAAGTGCCGCGAACGGATTTTTGCGTACGGATCGTCGTTACTTCCGCGCTGTCAGCTCGTGAGTGAACACTCCCAAAACAGATCAAAAAATGGGGTGAACTCTCAGCCCAAGCTACCGACACTCTCCAGCGCCATTCGTAGGGATTTTTTAAAAAGAAATACGAACAAGAAGCTACTATGGGGCTCCCGGCATCGCTACTAGGAGCGATCGGACGCTACGAACGGGGAACGGAGCGATCCGGCGCCAAACGAACGGAACATCAAGCGTTTTGGGAGATCTCGCTGCACCACCTTGGATGGAGCCCAGCGGAGCCCACCTTGGATGACCATGCTCGTGCCACCATGATCGCGGCTACGACGACCTTTGTATCGGATTATCTACTTATACCGCGACTACTGTACCATGCGAGGTCAACATGCACGCAACATGTCGTCAAAAGCGCGTCATAACTTGTTTTGAGAAGAGCAGACGTCACATAGAACGGAACAGTCCAAGCCACAAGGGGGGGTCCATCGACGCTGCTCGGTTTGGGGACAGTATTCTGGGCAGTCTTCATTTCTGGGCGAAGCGAGGTGACTGTCCGTCTGTGGGCTGGAGCGGTCGACTTTGAGACATCTAAGCATGTAGCTCCCCTCCGAGCTAAGCCTGTCCGTCACATGTCTGTGTTGAAATTTATGGGTTCTACCAATGGTGGGATACGGCCGCATTCCAGAAACCGACTGCTTCTTTGACAAGTTCCAGCGCCCAGCTCGACCCAGCTCCCCCAAAGACACCAGTTTTCTTGATATATAGCCAGGTTTTGAACCCTGCTGTGACCAATAGATGCTCATATCAAGGGGAAGGTCCAACAATAATTCACATATTATATGGTACCCCCCCCCAAAAAAACCTATGTTCACCTCACTTTTGCTGGTATTTGCAATATTTTGTGTCTATTTTTGGCGGCCTTTTGGACCTTAGTTTTTGGGGTACCATATATATATATATGTATATATATATATATTTTGTGCACGCACGTAGGTTGCATGACTTGTTTGTCCACTTTGGAAGGAATGCATTCAGAATGCGTTCAATGCATTCAGAATGCATTCTTGATCAAAACCAAGATCCAAGATCCAAGATTCCCACAAGACTCCTGGCTAAA